GGCTGTGACTAGAGACAGTGCAGGGTGATGTGTTGGTAGAATTTCTCAGCTGAATCGAGCACCGAAGTTTGTTGCAGCTTTTGCTAGATATCCCTTGTATGGGTTCATGCTGGCTGTCTTGATGCTGCAGCATGGCTGGGCAAAGATGTGGAAGTCACTAAGGGGCTAGAGGGCTCTGACGCACCAGGCTTGATGCAGAGTTGAGGTTCTCTGACCTGCTTTGCTGAAGTAGTGATATAGGATCCCTTTGGGTTGCTGTAGCTTCTGCATCTGGACACCGCGGATGAGCTAAGCTGCTTGAAATTTTAAAATCTGACCTGAAATAGCACATTGACTTCTCTATCTAGGGGCTGATGCAGTCAGTGGGTAATAGCTATTAGACGGCTTCTGCCTTTAAAAGACTTTCAAGCATTAGTGTGCGCGCTTGGATGGGATTTATGTCCATTTTAACTTGCAGGCCTTTCAAAAACAACAGGCTTTACATTTTTTTCATGCAAATAAGTGTTGCGAGCTAAGTGTTGTTGTCATGCACTGCTTATTAATAATAATAATAAACCTTTGTGCGATTTCCAAAGCTAGCACTATGGGCTGAACAGGTTCAAGGTGCGTATCAAAACTCCTTTATGTATGAAAAGTGAAACAACCACATTATGGAAAGAGTTATGTCAGAAGTCAATTAAGCTTAGTCTCTCTGTATAAAGTACAGGAGTGTAACAAGGGGTTTAGGTTGTAGCCGTGTTGGTCTAAGGATATAGGCAGACAAGGTTTCTTGGGTGAATTTGATATCTTTTATTAGACCAACCCAAATGGTTGGAGAATAGTTATTAAGCAAGCTTTCGGGTTCAAAACCCTTCGTCAGGCTCAGGAAGCTGCAGCAGTTGTAACAAGTTTCATTTTGCCACGTCAGTGCTATTGGCCTCTTCTTTTTTGGGCTACACGATGAGTTCCTTTGTAATAAAATGGCTAAAACAGGCATTGCAGACTTGTTCTAGCCTGTCTGATGCAGCTTGGCTTTTAACCAGCCACAATCCAGTATGCTTCATTCATTGTTTTCCAGCAAGAACAGGATCCAGGACTGATGGTATCCCTTGTGTTATGTTGTTATACAGGTTTAAAATACAATTTAGTTTCTGTGCATGCTTGGACAGCCAGGTGTGGTAATATGTTAGGGACATGCTAGTGAGATGGCAGTTGACACTGTGGTATGATGTCTCTTTTTTTGAAGCACAGCAAATGTTTGTTTGGCCTCTTAGGGCACATCCACATGTGCATGGACGTTTGTTTCCCCAGGAACAACTAGCAGCGATGCACCTTGCACCGCAGCTCCTTGTCCCTGGGGAACGCCTGTGCCATGTGTGCGCTGGTGTGCAGCAAGTTGCCTTAGGTGGGGTAGGGTGAGGCTGGCATCAGTGCTGGGCTGGCCTCAGCAGCCTTACCTGGGGCCCTGGGTGCAGCCATGGTGACTTGCCACGCAGAGCCTGGCTGGCAGTAGAACGTGGCACCAGGCATCCCAGCTCCACTTTTCAGCAGCACGTGCTGGCTGAGCATGCTTTGCACCTTTTTTTTAGCTCGGGGTTTTTTGACCCCTGGACATTGAGAGTTCAGGGGGGGAAAAAACTGGTGCAGCACGCACTCGGGCAGTTCGCCATTGTAGCATGGAGGACGCCAGACTGTGCGGTTTGTGGTGCCGCAAAAGTGTTTGTGGTGCCACATGCTGCATGACCGCACTCCTCTGGACGTGCCCTTTAGTGCTTTCTGAGTCTTTACTGGAGGGATTTCCAATAACTGCATGGAGCTAAAACAACCTGGCCAGACTGGAGTCCTTTTTGCCATAGGGAAACAATACCGATGTGCAAACCCCAGGGTGAACAATTGTTCTAGAAGTCTGCATTACTATAATTTTTGACTACATTTGTTGAATCTTGTTCTTGAAACTAAATCAGCACTGGTCTCGTATTTTTTGGTTAAGGCATGCTCTCTTCTGGGCATGTGCTGTACTGACCTCCTTGGTGCGGTGTCATTCTGGCCAGGTACAGACATTATGCTTGTACTGGTATAAGGGATTGGAAACTGGTCTGCACCTGTAACAGGACAGAAGTTTAGTGCACACAGACTGATTTAAAAATGGCAGAACCCAGTCTAAGATCTGCCCACCCCCACCAAGGGGCAAATGTGTTCTGTTCACTACTGATCTAAACTACACTGCTGGCAGAAAACTGCATACTTAGATCAGTTCTGTCTTCGGTTTCTTGGATGTCTGTACCTAGCCTGTGTTTGTTCCCTACCCCTGAGCAGAGTGACTGTGGTGCAGGTGCATGGTAAGATGAGGCCATGGATCTCCTAACCCAAACTGATTTGTCTAGTGTCTTCTTTTTTCCCTTAAGAAAAGCTGCATGACGAGATGCCATGCTGAGACTTGGCCAAAAAAAGCTCTGCCTGAACCTTGGCAAAGATGATTTACAGCTATATATATCTCTGTTTGAACACTGGCATGCGAAGAAAACTAGCTCCGAAACAAAAGCAATTTCTCTTGTTCATCTTTAATTGCTTTTGGGTAAAATTGAAAATGCATTGCTTTAGCAGTAGAAAATTTCCTTGTGTAAAGCTGTTCTAAGACTCCTTAAGAGCTGGAAGCAAGAGAAGACTAATGTCATGTGGAGTGACAGGTTATTGTTGTGGTGGTTTTAAACCGTATTTCTAAAATGTCTCTTAATTTAGACATTTTTTAGAAGCTTGTATTATTATGTTAAATTCTCTCCTTTTCTGGAGGCTGTGTTGTGACGAAGCAATCCAAATACTCTGTTCTCTTCCAAACCAATAATATGAGTTGTATTGACAAATCCTCCCCCCCCCAGCTAAGGACAGAAGGTGCACATAAACTGGCATAAGTGATTGGAAATCAGTTCAGATCTGTAACACAACGGAAACTTGCTGTACATAAACTGCTTTCAAAGGCTTGGGACAGAAGTTGCACATAAACCAGTTAAAGTGATCAGAAACTACAGGTTTAAACCTGTAACAGAACAGAAGTTCAGTGCACAGAAACCAGTTTCAAAATGGCTGAAACTGGTTTAAGATAAACCTGGTTGAATGTAGTATCAGACTTAACTAACCGGTTTATGTAACTTCTGTCCCAGGCTTTTTTCTGGTTCAAATTAAATCGGAGTCCCTCAGCATCCCAGTATTTTGCAGCCTTGGGCTGGGCTGGGCTGGGCTGTGCTGTGCTGTCTGCTCCAGAGAGCAAGGCTGGGCTGTGCTGTCTGCTCCCTAGCTGGAGCAGTGAGGGCTGACACTGGCGCTGCCAGGTGAACCTCAGCTGCAGTCTGAGGTCAGGGAGGGGGGTTAAACTTCTCTTCCCCCAAGTATGGAGTTGCCCTTCCCTGCTAAACTTATTGCTGGCTGTGACTCTGGACTACAAATCCCAGAGGCACCTGTAAGCAGGAAGAGGAAGTGATGAGCAACTCTGCAGAGTCCTGCTGCTGTAATTGTGGACTGCAAATTCCAGAGACCTTGGGTGCAGCAGGAAGAGGAGCTAACATAGCCCATGCTGGCTACGTGCCAGAAATCTGTGTTCTAGTGCCCCCTGGCATCTGGCTTGAGCCACTGCAGGCATGTGGCTGCATTTCCTGAATCAAAAGTAAATGTCTGTTAATTTGCTTGTTGGTTCAATCTTTGCAGGTTAGGCTAATCTGCAAAGGCTGAATCAATTCAGCCTCAGGCTTTTTGACTGTCTGTACTTAGCTAAATGGCCCAAACCAGTTTAAAATAAACCTGGATGGACGTAGTATCAGACTTAAATAATTTAGGTTAAATTTGGTTTCTTGACCTTCTGTCCCAGATCCCCTTCAGATTAAAGTTAACTCTCAGTCCCCCGGCATACCAGGATGTTTGCACCTCCCCCAATTCATCATGGGGTGAGGTGGGCTAGCCTTCGCTCAAGCTGTCTGCTCGAGCCGGGTAGGGAGATGTGCTGTAGCGTCCCCCGGCTTGTGCCCTGGGCCACTGCAGACATGTGGCTGCATTTCCAGAATCAAAAGTGAGTGTCTGCTCGTATGCTTATCGGTTCAATCTATGCAGCTTAAACTAACCTGCAAAGATTGAATTGATTCAGCCTCGGGCTTTTTGACTGCCTGTACTTGGCCCAAATCTTGCTGAAGTCCCATATCTGTGGGCCAGATCATAGATTCTAGGGTTTTTAGCTTGGTTAAACTCCTTTTTCCACTACAGAGTTTCAAGCAGCTAGGTATTTCTAGTCTAGTGGAAGACAAGGTTTTAGATGCTGTTACAGTGACTTTGTTGTAAAAGATGCAGTACTTGAGACTTGTCAGTTCCATTCCTGTCTTTCAAGTATTTGGAAGGAGATGAAAATGAAGAGTTGTTTTCACAGCAGTTGAAAATATTAATAGGGGCGTGTCGTGTGCATGTGGGGTCTTGTTTGTTTGTTTGTTCATTTTAAGATGAGAGCTCAATCCAAAATACTGGCTTCAAAGTGTTAGAAACTACATCTTTCCCTCCCTCCTCCCCTTTTTAGTGACTTGCATTTCTGACACTGCTTCCTGACACCTGTAGCTACAGGGGAGGCTGGATAGAAGGTGGTGATTCTGTTTCACAGAATATTTGGAGGCTTTGAAATCTGGCTTCACATCAAACTGGAGCACAACCCAAAAAATGTGTTGGGTTAAGCTGGGCCATACCACATTCATCTTGCTAGAGGCATCTTAGGCCTTGGTTACATGGGGAAAACTGCTATGTAGACCAAGCTGCTGACTCATTTAAACACTCACTGATTGAGGGGTTTATTGGTTTCAATGACATCTGTCTGTTGGGTGCTGCTTTTCTTAAGGCTGTCACTTAAACGCTGCTAGTTAATTATTTACAAAGCCTTCTAAAACCGAATGCCATGTAAGATCTTCAGTTCATTCCTTAGTGTTGTCCAGGAGTGTTTTTTGTGTTGTGGATGCAAGTCTGCCAAATATTAAATGTCTTCTTTACTTCCCTAGAAACTGTCAAATTTCTACTGCAAAGGAGACGAGGAATGTGCTTGGCACTGTCCGCTCTTCTATAGTCGACCCTGGAGTTGTCAAAGTCTTAAGGAGTCTCCTAAAATAAACACAACGTAGTTATTGATTTACTTTCCTTAACAGCGTCATTTAAGGAATAATAAAATATGTAATGCTGACCTTGAAATTTCAGTTGGCAGTTTTGTGATGGCTAAATAAGTGTAATGCTATTGCGAAGGTTGGGTGTTGAATAAGGGACACGCATTGCTCTTCAGACTTCCTTTTAGGAAACCTTTTGCTGAACTCGTGTCAGGTGGTAGGTACTGGCTGACAAATATAGGATGTTTCCGTAAGTACTTGAAGGGTTTGCCCATCTCCAAAAAGGTATAATTTCTGGAGAGTATTTGCCGCATGGCCATGCTCATTATATACATGAATGCAAGTTTATAGGGCCTTGTGAAAATAAATTAGTGACGATTAACTCTTTTTAAAATCATACCTGGAAAGGAACTGACCTGGAAATGAAGCAGTAAGACCTGGTTGTTAACTGTTTACTGTCATGCGAGGCAGATGTTCTGACATGGGAGAAGCTTATCGGTTTTGAAGATGATGGGAATAGGCCTGGTTCCTGCTACTAAGTCGGGTATGATGTGTAGAGGTGGATTCTACCTGTTGGAGCTGGCACGAGAGGTTGCACAGCAGAACCTAGGCACGCACACAGTACACTGCTATAGCAACACACTTAAGGGAAAAACAGGCATCACAAAGGGCCGATGATTACAAAAGCAAAATGGTGTGTTTTGATGTTACTGCCCCTCTCGGACAAGACTACAAACATCAGATATAACCTGCTTGCGAAGGATGAAACAAACCAGGTGTGACTACCTTGCTGTTCAATGTCTCCGGGTCTCATTTGGGTTGGGGAAGGGTCTTGCAATTCAAATGTTCCAGTTTTGTGCGAATACCTAGTGACTTGGTATTGTGAAACTGTGGCACTCCCTTCCAGGATGTGTGTTTAAGGCTGAGAACTTGAACAACCCAGTGGCTGTTACTTGTAGGCTTGACCTTCCCCATTTAAAGTCCAGGCAGGCTGCACTTCGTGGCGGCAGTGCCTCTGTGATTGAGGAGGCACTGTTCCTCTTGTAGTGCTATCAGCCCCATTCCTCAGGGTCATTCTGCCTTGTTGAGTAAATAGTGTCTTAATAGAGGATGAGAAGAGACTTGCTAGGTAGTTGGATAATTGCCAGCTGCCTTCCTTCTGGCATCTGATCCTAAATTCCTTTGCAGTCTAAACAGACCATGCCGTCACTGAACTAGAGCCACAGGTCAGGTGCAGACATACCTCCTTTGGTAACCCCCCTTTGGTGTAAAGTAGGCTTATTTTCCCTATGGTCACCATCCTGGTATGGTTAAGTACGTTTGCTTCTGAATGTTTAGAGGCAAAATGTTCATGCTTGACCTATGCCTGAAGTTCGCTAGGCAAGGTTCTTTGGGTAGATGCGATCTCTTTTATTAGACCAACTGAATAGGTAGAAAAAAGATCTTAGCAAGCTTTCGGGCAGTCACCCTTCATCAAGCTCCCTATGCCTGAAGAACGGTGACTGCACCCAAAAACTTGCTAAGACCTTTTTCCAACTACTCAGTTGGTCTAATAATAAGATATCACAACTACCCGAAGAACCTTGCCTGCCTGTGTCCTTAGACCAGCACGGCTACAACCAAAAACCCTGAAACATGGAAGATATTATTAAATTTTGCTAGGATGTTTGAGCCTTGTTAAACAGGCTGGTGCAGGGTTTGCTTACTCTTCACATTTGCAGGTCACTCCCTGTAAAGCTTCAGTTAAATACAAGCAGACTGCTTCTTTTGGAGACGTTTTTAACCAGTTTAGTTGGAGATGGGAACGGCTGGAGGATTGGTATATAGTGGAGACTGGTAAGCAGATCTCACTTCTGCATCCTAGTGATCCATTTGGTGCAACATACTGACACTTCCTGACTTTTTTTTCTTCTAATCATGAGTACACGCATACTTGCCTGAAAAATACAAGCTTGTGTCCTATTGGCCAGCTCCCTGCAAGATTTTTCCTCCTGTATAGTCAGCTTTTCATGTTTTGGGGCTTCCAAAAAGGGGGGGGGGGGGGGGGGGGGGGTCATGTCTAAACAATGCTGGTAGGTGGAAATGGGGGCAGGCACAAGATCTGAGATGATTCTTAAGTTGATGAAGTGCATTATATTGATGTATCCTCAGAAACTTGCTGTTTGTTCAGATCTTGTCAGCGGGTTTGGTCTCAAGATTCAGTGGGCATTACCAGTACCGCTGCGGAGAAGCCCCCCCCCCCCACATGCTTGTTTCACACGTAGCAAAACCACCCCCAAGGTTGAAGGAAAATGGCAAGAGTGGCAATGGTGGGGGGAGAGGAGAGGCTTCCTTTCTTTGTTTCGCTTGCTTCAGGTGAGCAGGATTTTTGGCCATGCTGTCAGGAGCACTGCAGAAGCAGCATCAGCACGGTTATATGTCTTCTCATTATCACATTATTCAAGCACCTGCTTGTTTAACGAGGTGCCCTGGTAGCAGCACTGCAATTACGGTTGCATCCTACAAGTAGGCGGTGTCCCTGCTTTTGGGAGATGAGTCCCCTCCTGGTATGGTAAGCATCTTTGAAACGTTTGTGCCTCCCAACTTTCTGGGTTGTCTTAAATCGAATCGGGTGTGTTTTGAAATTGGGCCATGGCTGAACTTTTTGCTTGGCAGGCCAAGCTTTCACTGATGGATCTCTCTGCAATGGCCTTTCATGCCAGCTGGCAGAGGCGCATCCAGCTCTGCTGCAGCGTGTGGCATTTTTAGGGAGAAGGAGTAACATGGCTCAGACACTTGCCAGCCATCCCATTCCCAACCTGCAGAGACTGGGTTCTGATTTGCCCAACCATCTACCCAAATTGCTTGCATCTGGGTTCTTCCCCTTAATTACGACATAATTAAGCAAGTAGTTCAGTTGAACTTGCTTTTGAAAACCAGGTGCCATTTGCCCAATCCTCAGCTTCACAGCATCATCCGAGTAGTCTTGCTCTCCTTACAAAGCCAGTCTCCCTGTGGCAATGGTCTTCACCAGCGGCTCACCCCACCTGATGGTCTTCTGCAGTGGAGGCACAGCTGTCAGAATAGGCAGCTAGTGATGCATTGGGGGTTGTGGGCTGTTGTCTTGCCCACCCCCACCTCTGTTGCAGAAACCAGGAAATTGTGGACAAATTCTTTGTGAAGCGGTTATTGCCACACAGCATGCAACTCCAGCACGTGAGAAACAAGTGACGCTACCTAAAATAAATACCTTCCCTTCATCTGCAGACACACTCGCACTGTCCTGGCGTGCTAGGCCCACACATGAACTCTGTCTCTCAGGGATGCTCAGCTTTCCATCACACCTTTACCTACTGACCCAGTTTCTGTGGCTGTTGGGCAGAGGGTAGACGTAACATTGTGTGGGGCCAGTGGAGCTAGACGGCATGTTGCAAAGCACAGGCAGCTAGATGTCCTTTTCCTATTAGCTGTGTCTAATTAATGAGTGGTGCACTGAGATGAAGGGGAGCAAAGATGAAGATTGCAAACAACCTTCTGCCTTAGTTTGTTATTGCCATAACCTGTTCTGTCACATTCTCCGTAATTTATGAAAATCATGATCCTCAGCTCTTGACTTGATGTAAATTTAACTTTTATATCTGTGCCTAACATGATTTTTGGCTCCATTAAAACTTGGTGGATAAACAAGGGCTCTTTGTCAACTGAAATCATAGGAGTGAAGTTAATTTGTAACTCTTCTGTGTGCATAGTTTACTCCTCATCGCTGAACTTGTTATCGGGGAAGAGGGAGTTTAGCTGCAGAAGAGATTTACTGGACTTGCTATGCAGTGGCTGTGACTCAAAGCATTACATGACCTGACTTGGCGGACAACCAGTGCTTAGACAAATGGAAAAGGGCATCTTATTAAATTGCCAGTTCTGGTGTTGTTGAGTGAGGCTTGGTGGGATAAGTACTCTTGTAACTGAAGTAAAAATGTGTTTAGTCAATAAAGAAGGGAAGGGGAAGAGCACTGCCCTGCCTGCCGCTTGCTTTCTCATGGCTGATGCTTAGCAGCCTGATATATTGGGTCCTCTAGTACCATCACATCAGAAATATCCCTTGGCTGATGGGATTACCTGTGATGGTCTAAGAAGGAAGTTCAATTTGACTTTGAGATTCCAGGTGAGTCTGCAGCCCTTTGAGTTCAGGTGTGTGTTGAACTCACTCAGTGAGGTTGTCATTGAGGCAAACCCACAACAGCAATTATATCTCAGAGAACTGGGTACAGGAGTGTGTTCCATGCTGGTCCTCCTGTTGACATGCAGAAGAAAAGCTGATCTTCAGTGCCATGGATTACTTTGAATAAAAGTTGCTCCACTGACGTGAAAGCAGAAGCAGAACAGAGACAGGCATTTAAATGAATTCTTTGACATGCCATCTTCAGGCTAGAGCCCTTAAGCCAATATAGAGAGACAAGTTTGAGTCTTTCAAATCTGTACGTAGAATTCACTTGATATAACTATTCCCTGTGGATGTAGTTCCAAAGTGAATCGAAAGGTAAACTTTCAGGTATTACATTTAGTATTGCCTGGGAAATGTTCCCTGGAACAGGAGACTTACGCAATGACTGCATACTGGGCCCGGCTCATTTACTCAGCTTTGCTGGTAACAAGAACATGCATTCCAGCTAAACAAAGGTGTGAGGATGAGATTTGAATGTATTGCTACACATCTGCTAGCTAAGCACGGGAACGAAAAGGCCAGTTGGAGAATCTCCCATTTGGCTCTTGTGTATCAGAGCTGATGCACTTGATACCATCACTATCTCCACATGGTAGTTTTGTGATTGAAATGGAAAATTAATTCCCCCCCCCTTTTTTTTTTTTCTTTCCTTTGCAGGGGCAAGAGACATTGTTGCAATCATGATTGGGAATCAGAAAGGCACAGAAATTTTACGCCGGATTGAAAGTGGCCTACAAGTGTCTATGGTTATTGAAGTGGGGAAGAAACACGGACCCTGGATGAACCACTATTCCATCTTCTTTGTCTCGGTGTCATTTTTCATTGTCACAGCAGCGACAGTGGGCTACTTCATTTTTTATTCTGCTCGAAGACTCAGGCTGGCAAGAGCTCAGAACAGGAGACAAGTGAGTTTTCTTCTGTCAGAGCTGATGCTTGCTTTTAGCCTTGCTACGTATATTTATTTGGGAACTGGTAGTGGAGTTAGTGATGGGATACAGCTTTCTACCATAACTTCACTAGGAATGGCAAGCTTTGGGAAATACTTCAGTTCTCGGAGCTGGGAACTGCTGTTCTCCACTTGGCTTTGATTTACTGTTGATCCCTTCAGTTGAGTAGTCCCACTTGGAAGACTTCTTTGGGCTGCCAGCATAGCCTCAAACAAGAGGGAAGTGTGTGACAGACCATTAGGCAAGGTGGAAAGGCTCCCAGGAGCCAGATCCAAATTCTTCCCCTCTAGCTGAATTGCTGATGCATCTCTAAAAAATCCTGAGGCTCACAATCCTACTAGCATCTTGTTAGTGGCTTGATATTGCAGGCTCCTGACAAACTGCCTGAATTCATGGCAAGACTCAGTCCCTTTTGTAGCCCATGATCATGAACATGCTACTGAAATACAGATCTGAGAGCATCAAAAGGCTTCTGAGTCTGTCTAATGGACTGACTTTGCTGTGAGTACAGGATAAACTGCCACCTGTTTCATCTGATGAGAAGTAGTTACTCAGGCACAGATCTCTCAAAAGAGATCTGGGCACTTCCATCTCATTGCCTTGAATGGAAGACGAGTACCTAACTGTCTTTGGCTTATTAACTAAAGGCCCTAATCCTCAAGTCTTAGGATATTGGTGAGCATCAGATTTTCTTGTTACTTAGCAGTTGAACTGAATTAATCATGGAAATGCAATAGTGACTATTTTTCTGGTTCTCTTTGTATTGCTAGAAATGTCTGATGTAGAAACTTATGTGATCTGTTCAACTTGGAGCAGATACTATTAGTAGCAAGTGACTACAACAGTATATTAGAAAGTGCTTACTTGCATGTTATGAAGTATAAAAATCAGTGTACTATAAACTGCACTTGAACCTCTAACTTGTAGGGAGTTTCTAGTTACTAATACCAAATGAAAAGCAGCTGTCACAAGTGGAATGCATCTGGTGCATGCCAGACGGTCAGAAATGTGGTGAACAGCAGAAAGTATGTTTTCTTCAGGATTTTATAGTTTAAGGATTAGGCTCCCGGACCCTCATGCTTTCTAAATTCCACTTATTACTGCTTGGAAGAGACCATAAGACACAGGACAAGCAAAGTTTTTACTTTTTAAATGT